ATTTTTTATTTTTATAAATATTATAGCTTGTAAGCTATTTAATTATTTATATATTTTAACTTATAAATCAAAATTTATTAAATTTGTTAAACAATATTTAATGATCAATAACGTTCTTAGGGAGTAAGTTATTTTAATTATAAATTGTAATTTTAATATAACTAATTAATTTATTTAAAAAATTTTATGGTATTTTAGTTGGTAAGTTATTTTTTATTAAGTACATTTTATAATAATTTAGGTTATTAATCTTTATTTAAAATTATAGAACGTAAGTTACTATAAACTTTAATAAAAAATATTAAAATATTAATAACGTTGGTTATTTTAATTAATTAATTATTGTAAAATAATTTAAATTCAACGAAACTTTTATTTTATAAAATATTTTAGTTAGTAAGTTATTTTTATTAATTATCAGTATTTTATTATACTTTTTACTATAATTTAAACTCAACTAAATTTCTTATTTAAAAAAAATTATTATTAATTAATAATATAATAGATGGTAAGTTATTTTTTATTAATTATTAGTATTTAATTATAATTTTACTGTAATTTAAACTAAACTAAATTTTTTATTTAAAAAAATAATTAAAAATTAATAATATAATAGATAGTAAGTTATTTTTATTGATTATCAATATTTAATTATACTTTTTACTGTAATTTAAATTAAACTAAATTTTTTATTTAAAAAAATAATTAAAAATTAATAATATAATAGATGGTAAGTTATTTTTATTAATTATCAGTATTTAATTATACTTTAACTATAATTTAAACTAAACTAAATAATTTATTTAAAAAAATAATTAATAATTAATAATATAATAGATGGTAAGTTATTTTTATTAATTATTAGTATTTAATTATACTTTTATTATAATTAAATTCAACTAAATTTCTTATTTAAAAAATATTATTATTAATTAATAATATAATAGATGGTAAGTTATTTTATTAATTATTAGTGTTTAATTATAATTTTACTATATTTTAAACTAAACTAAATTTTTTATTTAAAAAAATAATTAAAAATTAATAATATAATAGATAGTAAGTTACTTTTATTAATTATCAGTATTTAATTATATTTTTACCGTAATTTAAATTCAACTAAATTTTTTATTTAAAAAAATAATTTGAAATTATAGATTGTAAGTTATTTTTATTAATTATAAGTATTTAATTATACTTTTATTGTAATTTAAATTCAACTAAATTTTTTATCTAAAAAATAATTTAAAATTATAGTTTGTAAGTTATTTTTATTGATTATCAGTATTTAATTATACTTTTTACTGTAATTTAAACTCAACTAAATATTTTATTTAAAAATCAAAAAATACTAAAGAGCGTAAGTTATTTTTATTGATTCAGTATTTATACTTTTATTGTAATTTAAATTCATTTTTTATTTATAAAATAATTAATGATTAATAATTTAATAGTTTATAAGTTATTTTAGTATTTAATTATACTTTATACTGTAATTTAAACCCAACTAAATTTTTTATTTAAAAAAATAATTAATGATTAATAATATAATAGTTAATAAGTTATTTTTATTGATTATTAGTATTTATTTATACTTTTTACTGTAATTTAAACTCAACTAAATTTTTTATTTAAATAAATATTTAATGATTAATAATATAATAGAAGTTAAGTTATTTTTATTTATTATTATTGTTTAATCATACTTTTACTGTAATTTAAACTCAATTATATTTTTTATTAAAAAAATAATTAATGATTAATAATATAATAGATGGTAAAGATGGTAAGTTATTTTTATTAATTATTAGTATTTAATTATACTTTTTATTGTAATTTAAACTCAATTAACTTTTTTATTTAAATTATTAATATTTTAGAAATTAAGTACTTTTATTAATTATTAAGTATTAATTTACTTTAATATATAATATAATTTTAATATTTTAAATAAATATTAATATATTATATTTATTATTAAATATAATAAATCTATTAAATTTTAGTAAGTATGCTACTTTATTTCTAAATTATAATAAAATTATTATAATTTATTAATTATTTAAAAATTTATTTAGAAAAAAAGGAAGTTGCAAAAAATGTTATAAAAAAAATCCTGGATATAATTGATGTAATAAATGTAATTCTAAAGTGTTTCATCAAAATTTTCTTTTTGGACTAGCAAAAATAAGTTTATTGATAAATATATTCAAAAAATTCAATTGAATGCTAAAAATACAAATCAAATATTAGAATAGATTCCTTATAATAACTTAGAAAATAATGAATATCTTGATAAAGGAGGATTTAGTACTATATATAAAGCTATTTGATTAGATAGATATATAAGATCTTATTCATATGATAATAAAAATTGGATTAGAAATAAAAAAATAGAAGTATCTCTTAAATGTTTTGATAATTCATCTAATTTAAATGAAGAATTTCTAAATGAAGTATGAATTTATTATTTTAATTTATTTTATATATAACATTTTTTAAATTAATTTTTATTATTTTAGTGGAAATATCATTATGAATGTTATAGTCAATTAAAAATATATTCAAATGATAATCTTATTTGATTATATGGATTTACTCAAAATCCAAATACATTAAATTATATGGTATTAATGAAATATGCAAAAAATAGTAATTTAAGAAAAAATTTATTAAATATAGCTAAAAATAGATGGATTATTAAATTATTACAATTATATAATATTATTAGTGGATTTAATGAAATACATCAAAAAAATCTTATTCATTGTGATTTTCATCATGGTAATATTTTAATCTTGAGAAATAATATTTTATCTATTAGTGATTTAGGATTATGTAAACCTATAGAATATTTTCAATCATTTATAAATTTTAAAAAGACTTGGTTATTTTTATTATTTAAAAAGCGTAATACTTTTTCATCTAAAAATGATATTTATGGAGTTTTACTATTTATAGCACCTGAAGTTTTAAGTGGTCAACCTTATACTTTAGCTAGTAATATTTATAGCTTTTCTATGATTATATGGGAATTTATATCTGGAGTTTCTCCATTTGATAATGAAGCTCATGATTTTCAACTTAGTTTAAATATATGTAAAGGTAAACGTCTTAAAGATATTAAAAATATTACACAATGTTATATGGATTTAATGAAAAAATGTTGGGATATAAATCCATTAAAAAGACCAACTGCATTAGAAATTAAAAAGATTATTGAAAA